TTGTGCAATATTACTATCAGTTCTTTTTCTCATTCATCTATTTATGTATTTAATTATTTATATTGGCCTTTCCAGTTAAATATAGGCTCAAGGAGAGCAAAAATGTCTTGATACACTGACTACTGTATTACGAGTGTCTGCCACATGGCACTTACTCAAAAGAAGCATTAAATGAACAAATGAACAAACATATCTGATGTCCCAGCTAAAGCTCAATTTCTTGAAACAAATAAACCTCATCAGTTTCTTCTAATTATTTCTATGATATCTTTAAAGAGTCCACTTAAAAGGATGACCAAGAAGCCTCATTTAATCAAGGAGATAGAAGAGTGTAGAAATACAGAAGATGTAAGCTGATGAAAATGAAAGCATACCAATGGAAATTATCCAAAGAAATGCAAAGAAAAAATATATATAAAGAAGTGAAAACAGCACCAGAAGTTTCTGATGCTTTAAGTAGCCATTATATATGTAATTGGAGTCCCTGTGAGAGGTGGAAAAAAGAAGCAAAAAATAGCTGAAGAAATAATGACTAAATTTTCTTGGATTTGATAAATAGATCTATGAAGTGCAATGGACTCGTGAGTGCAAGAAACAGTAAAAGAAAAAAGATATCAAAACACATAATAAATTGTTCAAAATCATTGAGCAAAATGTAAAAGAATATAAAAAAAGCTAGAGAAATTTAGAAATGCATGCACAGAATATAGACAAATAACTTTCTTGTTGGAAACATTATACATAAGAAAACAAGGAAGTGACATCTTTAAAATACAGAAAGAAAAATAACTGGCAATCTTGAATTCTATATCCAGTGAATGAATATAGCTTTTAAAAACAAGACTGAAAAAGCACTTTTTCAGACACACAGAAGAGCTCAAGAAATTAATTACCCTTAGACAGGCAAGGTAAACGATGTTAAAACAAAACAAAACTTTTAGGAGCAGAATCTCTGAAGACAGGAATTTGTAGGCTATTCCCCATCTCAACACCAACCTGAGTATTGCATAATAATTATATTAAGAAAATTTTGGATATGAAGGTTTGTAGATTCAAAGCCAATTCTGCTAAAATATAAAATGTGTAGTGTATGCAGGAGTAACATGAGTACAATGTATAAGCATCGACTGGCTGGAAATTTAAATTGGTAAATGATCACTTAAAATACTATATATATTTTTAATTATTATGTGTCTTCAAATAGCTAACAGTAAAAAGCAGGTATGGAAAGGGGAGGGGACATGAAACAATTTGTGCTGACTTTTTTTCCCCTTCAAATTAGATTTATTGAGGTAAAGTTGGTTTACATTTGGTTATCTTTGGGGGTTATATATTTAAACCTTTATAAATATATGTTTGCACACCATGCTCACCACCAGAGCTCCTATGATACACAATCATGCTCTTTGGAGCCCTTTGGGCTCTCCCCCACCTCCACTTAGCCACCCAACCCCCCTGCCTGCCTCAGTTTTGCAGTCAGAAGTTGAATTTATTATTAGTTCGGCTTTGACTAATGCTAAATTATATTTTTGTATTGTCTACATATACGTGAAACCATTTGGTATTTAATTTTCTCCTTTTTCTGATTTATTTTGCTTAGAATTATCCTTCCCAGTTTTGTCCTTGTTGTCACAAATGGCAAGAGTTCATCCTTTTCTATAACTGAGTAGTATTCCGGTGTGTGTGTGTGTGTGTGTGTGTGTGTGAGAGAGAGAGAGAGAGAGAGAGAGAGAGAGAGAGTGTACACCACATTTTTCTGATCCACTTCTCCCTCCTTGGGGATTTAGGCTGTTTCCATAACCTAGCTATTGTAAGTAGGGCTGCAATGAGCTCAAGAGTCCCTAGAATCCTTTGAATTAGTGTTTTCATATTCTTTGGACAGATATCTAGGTATGGTATTGATGGGTCACATGGTAGGTTTATTTTCAATATTTTGAGGAAACTCCATACTGTTTTTCATAGAGGCTGGGTAAAATAACTAATTTTCTTTAAAAGATTATTTATTTATGCATACAGAACTGGGGTAGAGGAGAGGTGCAGGTGCAGTGATAGGCTTCACCAGAGACAAAGCAGGGAGCAGAACAGGGTGCTGACAAGTACACTGCTGAGGGGAGCAGCGGGCAGGTCAGGAGAGATCTGCTGCGCCATGTGGTCACCTCTATGGCCGGGGATCCAACTCATGCTAGCTTTAGCTTCTTAGTGCTGTGCTTTAACCCGCCACCAGGAGGGCCCCATTTCCATAATTTTAAGGAAAATTATGTACTTACTCTATGAACTCCTTCTGGAGAACATACTAAGTAACAGTTCTTCACCATTTGCTTTATTTAATACATCTGCTCTAATCACATAGACACTACATTATAGAAAGCTGTATATGTATTACCCAGATTCTCCATCACTGTAGTAGGTCATCATAAAGAAAACAGACCCCTATTGTATCTTGTTTTCCCTAGAGAAATGAAATAGCTTGCAGATTAGTTTAAATCACAAAGCAATTCTTTTGTAGACTGAATTGGCCCATTGCAAGGGAGGTTGTGCAACACACTTCCCACAAGACCTCTACTTGTGGCTGCTTCTCAAACGTGCCAAAACACGAAAACCTTGAAGGCACACCATGTGGGGCAGTGGTCTCTCTGCCTCTGAAGTAATTCCTGAGCCAACTAGAGAGCCAAATTCTGAAAAGCCATTGCAAAATCAAGTACATTTGGGGGAGGAAGGAGGATGGAGAAGTCAGCATTTTTCTGGTTAGGAAGGGAAATAAGGTTAACCTAAATTGGACTTGGGGCACAAATGAAGAAAGGCATCAAGAGTACCATAGTGCTTCAGCTCAACTATGCAGTTTAGTGTCCATTATAAGCACAAGAATAGTCCTTTAAATCATCTGGGGATATTCAGAAATGTAACTGCTTACAAAAGATTTCACATTCTTTAAAGGACTGATTTGGGTTGGTGGGGGGAAAGAGGACAGATGAATAATGCATTGCTACAGATCTATTTTGAGTAAAACTTATTAGCTAATCAGAGTCTGCAACTAGTACTTGCTAAGTGGCTTTTCATGTATGAGAACAGTCTTTGAAAGATTTTGCTGCCTCCTTTATTCTCTTTCCCAGGAAGAAACAGATTATATGGGACTTACAAAAGAAAAACCTGGGTTCCGATCATATTACTGTAATGACGTGCATAAACAACTCTAGGCACTATGCTTTTCAGCCACTTGTCATCTCTGAATTTTAGGGGTTTTCTCTGTAAAGTTTATGTAACAACAAATGTCATACCCTTTGTAAAGAAATACCTGTAAAGTGCTATTTAAGCCGTTATTATTGTTGATGCTATCACGTCTGCCAGACAATACAAAGTACTGAATTAAATGCTTACAAAACTGTTAATGAACTAGTCTAATTATAGGAAACAAATAGTAAGAGCAGAACTTTACCTAAACTAAGAACCTTAAAATCAACAATATTTTCACTTGAAAATGAACAGATATTTAATTATAGAATATTAATATTCTACATGGAATTTAAGTTGAACACCTGGAAATATCCTAGGGAGAAACAATGCCTCCATTGCCAGAAGAGTTCATTGTAATAATCACATATTGTAGGATCTCAGGTATGACAGCAAATCCGGTTTTGTCAGACAGAGGCAGGAGAATGAGGGGTAAGAGTTGGCACTCTGGAGTTAAAAATCTCAACTGATAACTTGTTTGAATGTGGGTAAATTAATCTTTTCTAAACCTCAGTTTTCACATGTGCAAAATGGGGACAGTAAGATGAAATGAAGAAACATAGACTATCCCACGGTGTTATTTGCTTAGCTACCATCTTTATTGTTATATATAAAGTTGGTTTTCTGTGAGTTGAACTTTACCAGGAGTCAGTTCTTTGGCAATCCACTATTAACACTTAGCCATGGCAGTGAACTATGGTATGTTTTTGAAAAACACAGCAGAGGGGTAACACTATGGTCATACATCCTGCCAGGTGCCCACAAACTAATATGCTGCTTAGGTGAAGTTAGATATGTCTACTGGGAACTGTGGTCTGTGAGCCAAATGTTAGCAGACATCCAAGGTATTCTTCATATTTCACTAACCACTCTCTGAACTATCTAGAGTTCCTGGGTCATACTTCAAAATATTTTATCCCAGTTGCTCATGCCCTGTGTTTCACTTCCAGCAAAATTTGTCTTTCTTTTTTTTTCAAATGGCAATGTCGAAAAGCTTAAGATGTGGATATATGCATATTTGTTCTGATTTGCAGTGAGTGAGATTTTGCTACTACAGAAGCTGAAGAAGTTAGAATAATGAAACACTTAAATAGCAGCCTTTACATACCATGTGAAATGATGGTGGTGGGCAATGAAGCAGCTGCTTCACATTCAATATCCTAGTGAATGAAATAACTGCATTTTAAGGAAATAAAACCTAGCCTTCTTGAGCTGTCCTGCTAAATGAGTCATAAAACCTTAATTCTAGATCTATAAAATTAATCAAAGCAACCCAACTGTGCATTCATCCTAGTTCATATCACAGAGAATTTAATAATGCAGTAAATTCTGTATCTTGGATATAGAAGACATCCTCCCTCATGCCCTAACAGTAACCTTTTGGGATCATGTCCACTGTTCTGAGACAGGGCTCCTTTCCTCAGGAGAAAGCCTGGGCCCAGGGACCTCGGCTCGAGCTGCTCTTCCGGCGGCTCCGCCAGCTTGCCTGCCTGGTGACAGCACTACGGGCCAGCCAGCAGCCTACTGGCGTCTGCTGGGCTGCTGCAGTCTGAACAGACTGTGAATCCAGCCAGAGGATAAGAGGTTGTTTTAATTGGCTAAATCCGCTATGTACTAAGCGTATGGCCATGAATTTGTAGCCAAAACAGTAATCTAAAAAAAATGTCATGTACAATTTAAATACAAAACACAAATGACATTTTCGCTTGTCAATTCTAGTTTTACCATGAGGATTTTTAACCTAACACTTAAAATGACTACTGAATCCTTACCTTTGCTGAAGTAGAATTTTCATGATATACTCCTTGTACCAAGTCCATAAGAGCACTTGCTATAAGTTCCACAACCTAAATGAAAAGTAAGAAAATAAACTTATTTCCATTTTTACCTCAGAAAGATTAGCAAGGCAGTATTTGTGCTTGATAGAAAAAACTGGGTTATCTGTAAAGATCCTGGCAAATGGCATCACCCACCTGGATATTTTAGCTACAATCCATTTTTTTTTCAGGCATAATTTAAGCACACAAAAAAAAATCTTATAAGCGCAATATATAACATATACATGAAAATCTACTAATAGCCATTTTGAACATAAGCTTTAACATCAGATAACTAATGAAATCTTTATTTTCTGTGTATTTATTTCTGTTAGGGGAACACATTTCCAAAATCCTCATTCTGAGAGTTAATTTTCATATTTAATATAGATAAGAAAGGCAAAAATGATTAACCTTTCAAATGTGTTGATTCTGTTGTGCTCAGAATATACTGTAGATATATTTAGTGTGGGGTCGCTGGGTAACATATATCGTAAAGAGTGAAAATTTTGATGGAACCACAGTACTGAACTTGATTTGTATTTGTACAAATCTGTATTATTTTTAAGACTTAGGCTACTTAAAGGAAAAAACCCAGCAAAATCAAAATCTTTGACATTTCTCCAGAATGTAAAACAAGTACAAAACAGTAAATGGTCTCTTTGGAGCTACTGTTCAATTTAGAGTTGTTTGCATAAATCATCTTAATTTAAGAGGCTAAAACAGTGGTGTTACTGAAATGTTCAATGCTGCCATTTCAAACATGAATTCCTCAAGGCAGCCCCATTTGCTGCTTATAGAGTCTGAATATCTTGTGTATTTAGCTTTCTATATCATGCAGTCCTATATCTGATTCCTACTCTTTGCTTCCTAAAGTTTAACCCAGTTCTGATTGAATTAAAGGATTAGATTTCAGCTTTTATCATTCCAGTAATTGAAGACATTATTAAGCCAAAAGATACAGACCCAAACAACAAGATACTTCAATCCAGGTACCCTGGATTTAATAAACATTTTTTTAGAGGCAAATTAAATTAATTTGTAGAAAGACTTGCTTTAAAATTTTAACACATGGCCATTTATCTCCAAATTTATATTTACATTCATACTGCATAACATACACAAGGCTGCTAATATGGAAATTTTGCTGATTAAAGGCTTTTTTTTTTCCTTTTAGCTCTACAGATGGGTTAATTTGTAAGACCTATACAAAGTCTTTTTATTTTTTTTTTAAATCACATTGCCCTTTAGGTAACCAAATACTTAAGAAATATTGTAGCAATATGAGCTGTAGAGGAACTGGAAGGACAATGATCCTACAGTGTTACCAGATGTGTTGAGTTATTTAAGTGGGGAAGAGAGAAAAATGAATGGATTTTTTCCCCCTGAAGGTATCAGATAAGCCCTATTCCCAAATCCAGGAGGATAGAATATCACCAATGGGTCTATGAAAGGCTGTAACTAAATGCACAGCATCAGATTGGATTACAGTTTATACAAGCAACATCCCAAGATCCCCCTGATGGCTGGACACATAATACAGATCAATCACTCACTAAGAAATGTTATGGTTTTGAAACAGTTTGAGCTCTGAGGCCAGTACTGGTAAAGTGAAGAGGGATTTACAAAAAGAAAATCTGACACTGACTGTCAAAATGATGGCAAGAGCTTTTTCTTTCTTTTTTTTTTTTTTTGAGGCTTTTGCTGTTAGCTTTATTAATTTTTAAAGACAAAATGATTATATGGAAATATATTAGTATATTTAAGTCTGTTTTTATAGTGAAAAAAATTTTTTAATAATATGATAGTTTATTTTTACATCATTATGTCATTTTTCCATCTCAATTGTCATCCCCGTGGGCTTCCCATCACCACATCACCAGTGTGCCATCATCATAGTCCAGTGCATTTCCCTCCCCCAACTGTTTTTGATCCCATTCCCCACTCTACCCCATAAAATGTCTCTGGTATTATTATTATTATTATTGTTTTCTTGCCTGGTCCATTATGGCAAGAGCTTTTTAACAATGAATCTGGACCTTGATAACCAGAGTGTTCCTTTCCTCTACTTCCCTAAAGTTCCAGACCAGGCAAAGACAACAAAAACATTTTATTCTCCGATCTTCTTCTCTTAATGTAACTAGCAAATATAGTCTGACAAGTTCATAATTTGTAAATAACCTGTCCTTCCAAATGGCCTACACTTAACTTGAACAGATTATACCTCCATAGCCAGTGACAACAATCAAGGAAACAATTTTGGACTTCCGAGTTTTATAAGTAGGTAGATTGTGAAAACTAGGAATAGTCTAGAGATAATGAATATCTTAGGCAAGAGCAATTTTCTAAGTATACACATAAATCTCATTTCATTGCCTAAAATATTTATTTAAAAAGTATATCAAAGGGGGTGTTCAAGTATCATCCGCCTACAAAATTGCAATATTTCTAGAAAGGACACAATGCTATAAGTCACATAATCTTAACAGACCCTTTTAATGATTTAATCTTTTTTCATTACCTGGCTTACTACTGCAGACATTCATCATTGTATTTTTTAATATATATAATAGTTTCTTTTTATATCATTTGTACATTTTTTTCATCTCAATTGTAATCCCCGTGGGTTTCCCATCACTGAGTCACCCGTGTGCCATCACCATAGTCTCATACACTTCCCTCCATCATTGTATTTAAATGTAAGAAAGCTCCCCCAAATGGCAGTAAAGACAATGGCAGCTAGAAGAGACTACAGAAACCTAACAGACAGACCTCTTGAGGCGAAGAGTCTAGCCTCCACGCTTCCTGCTGCTCTAGCTAGACAAGAGTATATCCAGCATGGGACTTGGGTAAAGGACAGTGCTAAAAGAACATGATGTCAAACCCCTTAAGGAGCCTAACAGATTAGAGGACTGCAATCAAACTGAGAATACTAGAAGTGAGAGCGACTAGACTCTACTTCAAGATCTACTCATTTCATTGAGATTTGGAGCAAATCAATCAATATTCCTGTGCTTTGTGGTTTTCCTCAAATATAAAACGAGGCAAGTTTATAAAACACAATTTCTCACTGTCCCTTCCAGTTCTAAGATCCCGAGCTTCTAAAAATGCAAGTTTTAACATTTGGGAAACCTTGATCAGACATTTGTCCATGCTGTTATTTTTATCTGTTATTTTTCTTTGCTTGGATCTTTCTCTATGTCTGACCTCTACTCCACTTCTTTGGTGAAACTTTTGGTGTCCAAATCTCCTAGGTGCTAAAACCTAGAATGGAACAATTTCCTTTTTAAAACAATTTTAAACTTCCAATTGTTAGGCCATATCACTGGTAGTGCACCCACCAGTAGCCAAAGAAGTTCTCCTTGGGTTCATTAAAGGTCAGCTGCTGAGCTCTAGGTCTTGAAAGACTCTAGTGTTCAGGAATAATTCATACATATCTGTTCAGAATGACACCAGGTTTAGGGCAAAGCTACGTCAAGCAAATAATGGTACTAGTTTGCCACATCATTTCCTTCTCTAATGAGTAAATGTGTAGTGCACTTACAAGAGAATCTGGAACACAGTGAGACTCAATGAGTGTTCACTTATTCTTCTGTACTTCCATAGTCTATATTCAAGTGTTGGACAAAGGCTGAGTATGCAAAGCACTGTTTTTTAAATTGTATGCACATATTTTGGAAGGAAACAGGTTTTAATTTAACAACAGAACATGTACAAAGAACTTCCTAACAAAAATTATAGCTCTTTTCAACACTGACTTGTGTTACCCTAGATCACTATTTCAGATTATATGACTATCACTACCAGTGTTACAGTTTACTTTAGTTAAACAGGAGATACGTTTTGTCATTTCTATAGGTTGAAAAACTAGAACTACTTACTTGGACATGCAAATGAAAGATACTTTTCTCTTTTATTTGTGTCACATGTTTAAATCTGACTCTGGCAATACTGCCCATTTACCTTATTTTCTGAGGGACATTATAAATTCTAGTGAGCCAAAAGTGGCAGCTATTCACAATGTCAGTGTTATGAGCTCACTTCTTCCCTCCAGGGAGGTACCAGGGAGGTACCAGGGAGAAGGCTACAAAGGAAATTAAAAAGATAGTGAACATCGAACTGCTATTTTCAAGCAAACTGTTGATCTCTCCTACTTCAATCACTATACCACCTCACCAAGATAAGGAAGAGGTAATATCCAAATACATCTGAACCTTAGCACAATGACAGATGTGATATAATTGACCTTTGGAATAAAATTTCTTAAATGGTTAATTTTCAGAGCAAATCTCACCAAGCTCAGGGGAATATGTATGTAATTGCTTCATTTGTTATCTTTTGGCAAGGGTAACTACCAGTCAACCATTTTTTTTTTTACTGAAAAACTAAAATGATACATACTGACGTCGTTTTTTGGGAGTTCGGGGTCCTTGGGTTCACTCTGGGAAAGGTTTCACCAGAGCTCCCCTTTCAGGGACATGCAGCGAGTTCCCCTGGCAAGTTTCTCCATGAGACAGAGACTCAGTTATATTTAAAGAGCAGGCTTATTATGGAAAAGGATAGAGGAGTAAAGAATTCTTGCACAGGCACAAGTGGGGAGGCAGAGCTGCCCGGAATGGCAAAGACAGGTCTGTGTGGTTGCAGGCAGGTGACCTTAGGAGAGCGGCCTCTGCTGAGCCAGGTCAGTGCAGAGAGGTCCCAGCATGGTGCAGGTCACAGGCAGGCAGGAGGCTGCTTCCCTGCACAGGGAGAGAGTGGGGCAAAGAAGCAGGTCACCTGCATGGTCACAGGTGGGCAGAGGACTGCTGCCTCGAGCCAGTGCAGAGACTGCCCTGATATAGTCCTTTCCTTTTTGGGAGGGGCTCACTAGCTTGTGGAGTGGCCTGTTTGCTGCTGATTTTGGATATCTATGTGGCATCCTGAAGGGACTTGAGATTTTACAATGGGCCCAATCTCTGTATCTTTACCTTCAGGTCTGTGCTTCCAAAATGCCCTACAGCAGTCTGATATAGGAGTCTCTGTAACTGGGT